ATATACACATAATTTAATAATGTGTAGATAATCCAACGGTTACAAAATATAACAGAACCATCTCGTTGCGGGATGGTTCCGTTATGCTTTTAGTCGTAGATATACACATAATCTAATAATGTGTAGATAATCCAACGTTTACAAAATATAACGGAACCATCATGTAACTGGGTATTCTCCATAAATTTATATCTATATATATTGAAAGAGGTTGTTGGAAACAAGTTACTTTGTTTGTCTCCAACCACCTTCCCGAATAGGCTTCTCCTGCACTCATCTTAGCTTAGCTCAATATCCTCTTGCCCTATATCAACAATGGCATTCTCGACTTCCAACAGTGAGAAGTTCTTCAACATTCGTTCAAGATCTACCTCTTCATTTCCTTGGCTTGAAACTCTTTTGTTACTTGACACCATAGTTTCAGTTGCCTTTCAAACCTAGAAAGTCAAGGATCTCACCCGAGACAATTGGGGTTCCCAATCAAGAGAATAGGATCTCACCCGATGTTTGTGTTGGTTTACTTAGATGTAAGTTTAAAATCTCAATTAAACCAGCACACAATTTTTTTTTTTTTTCAAAATTAATTTTTTTAATAAATTCGATCAATTTTAAAATATTTTATATTCAACAATGCCATGAAAAATAATTTTATTCAATAAATTCAATCAAACCTAAAATACTTTTATATTGAACAAAATATTTGACAAAAATCACTTGTTCGATTGTTTCCATGACATTATTTTCTCCAACAATTTAACATACCCAGATAACTATAACCACTGACTGGTACTATCACCATTTCCATTTTCCCAAACAAAAACATTAGCTTAAAACATTTTCATGAAATTTCTGTAATTCCCACAACCGGAGAAACTGAAAATTCAGTTGCAGACATTATGAAAATCATCGGAAAACATTGGTGGCTTGGGGTTAGACTTTGAGAATTCGCGGAGCAGAGTTCGAGTGTCGCGATTGCCATTGATGCCGCTACTGTAGGGGTAAGAGAGAGTAATTAAATTCTGTTACACATGGTCGATTTCTCGTCTGTTAATCGGTGGGAAGCTTCAAATTTTCTGCAAATCTCCCATAATTCCATTGGGTCTTGTTAAAAGAACCTTCTTTTTTCTGCCCATTTGGCAGAGACGACCTCCTTTATCCCAAAAGTTCCAGCTTAGGAATCTTTAATTTTAATGGCGGTTGCGCGTTTGGGTCTGTGGAGTTTGAAGCGGGCTGCTTGAATTTTGCGTCTTTTAGTTTAGAAGTGAAGTGAAATAATCAGTGGATAATTAGGGTTTAAGCAGAGGCTGATTTTCAGTATGGCGAACACTTCATCGTTGTCGTATTAGCGTATTCTTGAAGGTGACCTGTTGTTGAAGAATTCCGATAAGGTAAATTGGATGGGGTTAGAATTTGAGAGTAGAGTATAAATACTGTGTTGTGTCATTTATGCCACAACTGTAGGGGAATGGGAGAGTAGATTCTCGTAGATATGGTCGATTTCTGTTCTGTTAATCTGTGAGCAGCTATGGATTTCGATAAATTTCCCATAATTCGTATTGGGTCTTGTTAAGAAAACCTTCTTTTTTTGCCCATTTGGTGGAGACCTCCTCTATCCCAAAAGAGCCAGCTTAGGAAACTGAATTTTAATAGCGATTGCGCGTTTGTCAGCGGAATTTGAAATGGGTTGCTTGAATTTTGCATCTGTCAGGTATAGAAAGTCAAGTTAAATAGTCGATAGATAATTAGGGTTTTGCAGAGGCTGATTTCTGTATGACGAACGTTCAACGGTGGTGTCCAATCAGTGGATTCCTGAAGATGACTTCTTGTTGAAGAGTTCTTTTGAGGTAATTGCTTGGGTTATTAGAATTTGAAATAAAGTATAATTCAAGTGTTTTGTCATTGATGTCAGTAATGTTGGAGAAATGAAGAGTAAATTCTGACAGATATAGTCGATTTCTCGTATGTTAATCAGTGGGAAGCTATGGATTTCGACAAATCTCCTGTAATTCATATTGGGTCTTGTTAAAAGAACTTTTTTTTTTTTTTTTTTTT